GCAGTGAGGCCTACTATGCAATGACTACATCTGCACTGAGAGACTGTATGAGCAGGGATGACCAGGCTCCTATACTTATTAGTCTTCCAATTCCAAAAGGATGAACTTACCTTTTAAATTGCTTGAGGAAAATGCCCACATTCATGCTTCTCTTGGAGTCAAGAATATGAATCTTAAAAACAAAATAAAGTACATAACATCATAACAGCTGGGAGGACAGTCTGCAGCAGCCATGACCCTCTGTGGGATGTTGCCTGCAAGATGACTACCTGAGAGACTGGTGAGTAATCTTACTGTCAGTCACTGCCATCAAAGCAGAGCTAAATTTATACCGCATAATGGTTACACACCCAGTAAACACTTTCACCAGTCCCACACACAGTGATGAGCGAGCTGTCCTGATCACTCATTTGAGAGATCTCAAAGAAATTAGGAATCAATAGGATTCAAACACTGAGGAGGAAGGTTATGGTGTGTTTCAGTCTAACGTCGTGCTTCACTATCTCCACCTTGAGTAATGGTGTTGTGACTTACCTCCTCCTTAGTCTCTCTGAAGGACCTTCTGGACCAGCCTGCTTGGTTGACTCCATCGCGGCCATCCTCACGTTGGCCAAACAGCTCCTCGATGGTGCGCATGTCGATCTGGTAGTGCTGCTGCTGTCTCATGGACAGTGTCCAGATGTTGGCCCTGCCCCGAACCTTCTCCTCTGGGATGGGCTTCCAGAAGAAGCTCCGGACCCGCCTCTTCATGCGTGAGCCATGAGTGGAGTTGCCTGCACCTGCCAGAGGAGGTGGCGGAGGCGGCGGGATCTTCGGGGGAGGTGGTGGAGGTGGTGGAGGGGGCGAGCTGCTGGATGGGCCCTCTGTGCCAGCTGAGCTGACGGTGGAAGGAGTGGGCATGAGGTTGGCACCGCCGTCATCACTCTCTCTGTCACTGACCAGGGACAAGCTATTCATAACATGCATCTCAGAGCAGCAGAGACCCGAAGCTTGCCAAGGACAGGAAGTGCAGAAAACAGAGAAGTGCACAGGTGTTGGAACGTTCCATTAAAACGTGACCGCGGTGTCCTGCAAGTTGGCGTCGCCTCTTCTTAGGCTCCATGCCACCCTGGGCAGAAAGACTTCACTGCACGTTTGTCCCTGGGGTCAAAGTCCGGGCGATGCACAGGGCAGCTGAGAATGAAGAAAAGCACCATGTCACAGGCAGCTCGGAGATGATGAAAATCCGTTAAACACAGCATCAGAGGAGGCAGGAACCATGTGAAATAGACAGACGAAACGATGACAATCCATACCAACAGCACATAATGCGCAGTCCATCACTGCACTGACAGCAAAAGAAAAAATCAACACCTAAAAGCTTCTGATTCCTCAAACCTCTAAAGACTCCTTGAAAATTGGCTGCTCTGCTTCTGGGAAACCAAAACAACAGCAGTTAATCCTATTCATGCTCACCTTAATACCATCACTCTTGCATTCCTTGAAGGATTGTACCAAATTAAGCAGTCTTCCACTAAACAGGCTGAAAGAGCAGGCTTTCAGGGGGAAAATGGGTCCGAAAATGAAATTAATAATCTCACACTTTGACTGACATGCTACAGAAAAAAAGACAAAACTGGTCCACATCATAGCAGGATGCAGGCTGTAATTTGATGGGTGAGCTGTGACTACCTGCCCCCTCCAAGCCAACCAGTATGGTCTCAACAGGGCCCATTTTGCCATGTCCTGGGGCAAGCAAAACCGCACAGGCCGAAAATCCTGCCCGAGGTCTGCAGAAGCTGACCTCTCTTCCATGAGCGCTGAGCTGCTTTCTGCACACAA